AATTTCACAATTAATCCTTGCAGTGCAAACTAATACATATCCTGCCATGAAATGAGTTTCTGGCCGACGGTTTTAATGCGGTTAAGTGGCCTCAAACCCAGCCACTTCTGCCGTGTTGGCATATTTTGACAGCAAATTGACCGACAAACGTGTATCCTAATGACATGGGAATTCAATTTGGCGCTGGTTAAATCATTCTGCGCTGTCAGTGAAATTAGTCCTCGATTTAATTGAATGAAACAAATGAGAGCTATACTCTTCATATTCTGCCAAATGATTTGCGTTGCGAAAGAGGTAATGGATATATAATGATGCCATAACCTTTCACCGTCGCCCATTTAACTGACGCCTTTCAACACTCTTTCGAATGAAGACTGACATGCGAGGCGTCCATTTCCTCTGCCCTCCCTTGGGAGAACGTAGTCCAATCAGAGGCACACTCCGTACACCGTATATACACAATGTCAATCAGCAAATAACAATCTGACAAATGCAAATACCAGAAATTCAAATTGTATGCGATATAAATAATTCACGGAGTGAGTATGGAATGGGCAACATATGAAATGTTTTGTTTCTTTCCGCTCGCTGTTACAATTTAAATTTTAATTAAATGATAAAACAGCAAACGTCGCAATCGGAGTGCAAAAGCAAGGGATTTTTATTTTTATTCCCCCACAATCCTGCGGCACAAAGGCGTCGGGTAAGTTGAGAACTTAAACCCCTTTCGAAGGATACAACTCCTCACGTGACGCATTCGCCCCGTGGCCCATGGATGGATATAGTATGTACTCATGTGTCACCTTACATCGTTTTTCTTCTGCCCAATTCTTTCACTTTTCGGTTTCTCTTTTTTTCTGCTTACCGACTGACGTCAATCGATTGATTTTCGAGTGTGTTCTCCATTTCGATCCATTCTATCAATCCTAATTGCAATTGACCAACGCCCGACTCATCATCAATAATACCCTGCTCGTTCCACGCACACATTTATTATGCAATAATTAATTGTCGCACTCCAGGAATCGGGACAGACCGACCCCAAGGCGGCCAAGGTTGACCCCGGGCACCCACATGTCGGCTTTATGCTTGGTTCCCATACTGAATCAGAACACTCGTGTAGGTAGCCCTTTGCCACCGTAAATGGTCGGGCATATCGTCACATATGTCATTTGTGCTCTGTTTATGGCCCAGTTTTTATTGACATTGATGAGTTCACGGATAGCCAGCCAAGGGGGAGAATAATGATGGCAGACGCCTTGAACTCAGAACGGCAGAAACATTTATTCAGACTGAAAAGGAATGCTAACTGCATTACGTGTGCCAAAGAGTCTACATATATTAATTGTGTTTATCTGTGCTAATAAACCATAAAGCGATCATTACAATGAAGCATCTAAACATAAATGACTTGTAATGGTTAGTGTCTTTTTTAGCAATTGTTTGCATTGCATATTTAGGTTTTGAGTATTGTATCATAATAGCATTTAAGCCTGTGTATTGATCCTCCTGCCGCGTCCCCTCCAGCCTTTAAATACTTCGGTCATAAAGGCAAAAATTCCCAGTGCGTAACCAATCAATAAAATACTGAAGCATACTGTATAATCTCTCAGTTTCAGAGGAGTACCGCCCGCCTCTGCCGGCATTCGATTGTTTGAAAAATATTGACGAATCGATGTAGTTACCCAATGGCGACACAGACCCACACTCCAGCTGTAGGAGACAAAGTCCCGCAGGGCCAGGGCGTAGACGGAGTTCTGTTCCAGGACGGCGGTGTAGGACAGTCCGGAGACTATGTCCAACTGCGAGGACTTGCACAGGACCTTGCGGTAGGAACGCTGCTGCAGCACCGAGAAGGGGTCATCGGGGTATGAGTATGTCTGATAGGCGTAGCTCGTGTTCAGCGACACTATCATACGCATTTGCTCACTGCTAGACACAACCATGACATTCGGCAAGGAGCCTATAAAATCCTGATCGACTTCCTCCTTGATCTTCTTTAGGTTCAGGTAGTTGAAGACCACGGTTAAGTTGCTCTCGCGCAGTTGTTGGAAATTGAGAATGTGATTGTAGTGGGGAATCATGGTCAAGACAGTGGTGTGTATAGCATTCATTACGCTTAGATTGAACATGCCCATGAAACTCATCACTAAGATTAACAGTCCCTTGGCGGATCTGTATCGATTTCCCCGGGGAATGGACATTGCCAAAAGGCAACGTATCATCCGTATGTTCAATATTATACCCAACAGGTTCAGGCTATTGGGTTTTCTGTGTATTATATTGAATATATTCCTTATGAGAACCTCCACAGCACTAAGTAGAAAGTAGGACACAATAAAAGTAAAGCTTGGTGCTAGCTTATACACGAGATAAACCCTTTGCCCTAAGGATAACTCCATGCCACAAGGCACTACAATGGACAGGGCAGACAAGCCCAGGAAGCAATCGACCCGACTCAGTTCCGGATGCCGAAAGTTTATCAATTGCCCAGTCATGGGCAGATCGATATCTCCCCGCACGGTGCTCTCCATTATCTGCCATTGAGGCAAGGACTCGTTGCCCATCAGGGGCCTCTGGAGCTGCAATGTGATGTTGTGCCTGTGGGCAAAGGTCTTCATTAGCAGGTAGATAAAGCCACCGTGCCGCTTGCGTCCCGTTCGCTGATCTGTGTAAATAAAAGTTCGTGGCGGTACCAAGTCAGGCAATGTCACGGCCTTCTTCCCCTTGAAGTTGCGCCACATGCAGGGAAATATCTGCTTCTCCAGCAATAGTTTCTTTACAACTTTAAAGCTGGGCTGGGGAAATGGATAAAGTCTTAGGAAACGCTTAGCTTTTTCGATTATCAATAGACTGAGGAACTTGTGTTCAGCTGCTTGTTGTGCAATCATCTGAAGAAGCTGCGTAGATGCGGTATCCTGGAGCCATATCACAATTCTGGCCTCTCTCATATGATTAAGGTTTGCAGCAAGGGCTGAAAGTAAAGATATATCATCCGAAGAGTCCATAAAGACCAGAGCCAGTAACGCCTTGCTGTGAATGTTCACCAACTGGATTCTCTGGGTCTCATCCAACCGAATTGTGGGCCAGTCTAGAGGATATAGTTGCTGCAAATGGTCAATAGTTGATTTCCTTTGCATCAGAAGAAGTGTGGGAATCGAACGTTCCTTGTGCACCAAGTTAAGGAAATCCTTGAGAAACTGCACTGGCTCCAAGGAGGCCACTGCCCCACTGCTGACCACAAACCAAAGAAGAATGGTAAATTTCCTCATCACTCCACAACTTTGCTTAGTCAACTGATCCCTTTGCCTTTTAGTCCTTTAGTTTTTAAACCCATATCCATTAATCTCTCTCGGTGCTAATGTAATTTAAATCAAAACCTTGTATCTAAAGTGCTTTGCATTGAAACCAAACATTACGTATACGCACTGTGCGATTTGATATTAAAATTAGCATGAATATTAAAATCACATTACTTTCAGTGCCGCGAAAAGCGTCAGGTTGCTACATATTTAATTAAAGGCCTCGCACATTGTCCCCCTTCTCCTAGGAGGGGAAACTTTCAAACACATGTTTATGTCCTGCCATACGGTTAGTGCTTTTATTCCGGTTTTGGTTACTTTCCCCATAAAAAAAAAACAAAAAACCCACTCGAGCTGAAGCCCCTCAACGACATAATTTACAAAGCGCTTTGGCAGCTGTCTACCTCTGTCTCCTGGATCCTGGCTCCTGGCTCCTGGCTCTCTGTACGTCTCCTGGTTCCCGTTTCCCGTTGCCGGTCTTCTGTCGCCTTACCGACACTTCCGGTGCCACCATGTTCGACGCTCCTCTACCCTCTTATCGTAGTGTTAGTGTCAGTTTTGTGTTTGCAAAAGGCGGAGGTCGAGGAAGAGGAGGAGCAGTTGGAGCATTTCAAGCGCATTTAATGCGCATAATGTCAAATGCAACAAAGCAACAGAACAGAATCAACGAAACCCCATCACAAAACCACCATGGAGCAGGGTCAGGACAGTGAAAAGGGGAGTGTTTGGTTTGGGCAAAGGGCAAAGCACACAAAATATTTTTAAGCAAGCTTAACCACTCGAGTTGAAATAAATTCCTTCATCTGATTAGGACAACTTTGAGTCAAGTTTTTATCTGGCTAATTAGGAAAAGGGTTGCCAAAAATACTTTTAGCTGACTTTCCTCAATGGTGCAAGCAAATTAACAAAGGAATTTAATTTAAATGCCATAAATGTCAATGTTATACTTATTTTAGAGGGAATTTTCACATGATAAAAAGCTTATATTTTTGTGAAATCAAAACAGGTCATAGGTATTTCTTCATTTAAATCTTTTGAAATTTTTAAAAAGTTATTTTCTATTAAAATCGAATACTTGAAAAAGTATTGGCTTGACTTAAAGGAATTCCCACACTATTATAGATAAAATACGAAAACCAAAGGAAGGGTTTAAAGAATGGTCACTTCCGACATTTAGTTATAAAGCCAAATAAGTTTAATATCGAACCATCCTGCAAATAATCCCAAAATTCAAATCACACTTAAAGGTTAGCTGTTGAAATCCTCACTCAAGACCCCTATTACATTTAGGACTTGAATGCATTTAAAATGCGTAAAATGCGCTTCCGTCTTTAAAACAATTCCCTCCCTAGACTCCTACCCCAAAAACTACTTTATTTTTATTTCACCAGAGTCCCTGGCATTCGCCTTTCTGACCAAAGTGCGCGGTGGCCAAGCCCAAATAAATACTGGGCCCAAACTACTTCTGTCTACAGATAAACTTTTATTGATATAAAAAATTACGCACGTAGAGCAAACAAACTGAAAGTACGGGCACAAAGAGAATCGCTAAGGACAACAATTTCGCTTTATCCAAAAGCGGAATCCGGAATCCGGAATCTGGAATCCGGATACGGATGCGTTCGATTTCTGTATTCACTTTCCGTGGCACACTCGAGTCGCTGGCGATATTTGGGAAGTGTGTGTTGTAGCACATACCTTTGGCATTTTCCGCGATAGAGTGCGGCAGGAGGTGTGGTGTTTATGATTTTATGTTTTATTTGCAGATTTTTATTACAACTTTGCTGGTGCTGTGTTGCTGTTGCTGCCAATGAGGCCCAGAGGAAAACGAAGTGCGCGAGCGCGGCATTGGTCATAAATTCAAGGCGAAACTTTCGGCAGCTCCTGGAGATGTGGCTCCGGCTTTACCTCTTGCTCCTTGCTGCCTGTCCGCCGGTATGAGATTCCGTATAAGTTACGGTTCACGGGTCAACTGACTGGTCACATTTATTTATGCACACGGACACACGCTGGCACGCGGCACACACACCTCGGTGGATCTGCGTAGACTGCCACAAATTTGCACGGGAATTTTATTGCCACTTATATCATTCGGTGTGAAATTAAATATTTAACTTTGGCCGGCGTAATTTATTATTTCTCGTGTTATTGATTTATGCGGTCGAAAAACTAAAGATGTGAAAATAACTGGTCCAGAGCTAAAGGTTATGTTCTCTAAGATTTACGACAGCTCGTTAAACGGATTTGTTTGCTTATATATATTTTTTATGAGTAATTACTAGTTAGAATTAATTGCACTACATCTAAAATATTTAATTTTCCGTTGCCGAGTCACCTGATTCAATTTTAATTAGCACTCGAGCGATTTCCGTTACAAAAAACCCGCTTGAGGAAAATGTCACCGAGGCGACACGACACGACACGGCACGAATGTGAGACTCACGCACGCTCACTAACACACACACACGAACAATAAACACACTTCATCGCTCTCACTCGCACGCGCTGGCTCTCTCGCTCACTCACTTGCGGCCGGTGGCGAGGGGAAGGAAATCTCTAAAGAAAACTCTGGCTTCGGTGGAAAATCGAGCGTTCGAGGGAAATCACATGTTTCATGTGCAAAGTATAAAAACAAACTGAACGCCGAGCGGCAACTGCAAAGCCGACAAGGCCGACCGACTAACATATTTTCCCCAATTGTGTAACGGGACCCGATCTCCAACAGTAACAGTAACTGTAAAGGCCGGAGGATTTCCCGAGAGTTTTTTTTTTTTGGGAAAGCTCAAAGCTTTGAAGTTAGCCGTTAACCGTTAACGTTAACGTTAGCAAGTTAACAGTCAAGCAACAACTGGGCCATGTTAAGGCTTTTGTTAGATGAATATTTAAAATATACATGTTTCTTTAAAGTTTTTAATAAAATATTTAACTAAATATATTGTAATGTAGGAATTTTAGTTTTGTAAATTTTAATAAACTAATTAGAGTTCATTATTTATTTTAGACAAAAGTCATTGCTAAGTAATTCTTGACATAGTGCTTAAAGAATATTTAATGTTAGTTCAACATTTTCTTTTCTGAAATATAATTATAAGTAAGAAATGGAATATTTGATTTTAAGAGCACTAAGGGGTTAAGATAGCAAGTTTTTCTTATTGATTCCCACATAATTCGCACCTGTTGGGGGAAGTGGCTGCAGGTATACATATATATATAGTAATTGACAGACGTACAACCTCAGAGTGCAATTATCGCTAGTTTATGGCTGCGACCTGTCTCACTGACTGCCGCAGCTTCAGTTCACTTGAAATTGTGGCCAAACTCAGTTGGAGATTCGATTTCTACTATTGCGGTTCGGCCACAAATCACTTATGGAACTATAATTAAATTAACGCCGTCCAAAATAGCAACAGGTGTGTGTGTGGTAACCGCAATGAGTTTAAGAATTAAGCTCAATATTCGAACACAAAATTGTCAAGAACAAACAAAATAAATAACAAAAGCTATGAGGGAAATATATCAATCACATAAAATCCCCTGCTGACAATTATGTGATTTTGTTATGACTTTATCGACTACCGTCGTTTGGTTCTCTTCTTGGTTTTATTTTATTTGCAAATATAAAGGTTTTACTTTTTGCTTAACACTTTAATTTTTTTGCCTATTAACTTATTAAATAGCAAATATTTTTCCTCAGTTATTTTATCATTTAGAAAGTTATTTATATTTACGATACTAAATACCACAAGACACACAATTATTTATTTTCACAGCGTCTATCTCTATTAAATCAAACACAACTTAGTGGTATTTAGAAAAGAAAACAAAATAGAAAAGCATAAGAAAGAAAAAAAGAAAAAAACAAATAGATATTTGCTCTTAGCCTTAGCTAAGCCAATAAATCAATTCGAACCAAAGTCGGCTCGGCACCCAAGACGTTTAAGGTTGTCGCAGGCATTCCTTCTCTGAATTTCATTACGAATGCCAGGCACAGGGGCACGCAGCTGGATGGCCACTCAAGCCAAACAGTTTGCCAGGACGTAAGGACGTTAGGACACCGGACCAACGTCAAGTGGCCAGGATGGGACACACAACGCCAGCTGCCTCCAGTCAAGTCAAGTGGAAAGTGGGTCCTTGCCTGGTCTGGTCTGGTATGGTCTGGTCTGGTGACGGGGGGCAAAAGTGTGTTAACATACTAATATTCACTTTGCATCTTAATCGTTGTTGTCCTGCCCAAAGGATGTTATTCCAAACGGAATGGAAGGGGGATTGATGGCAATGCCAAGGACTGCCACTGGCGCCATGAATGCTGTGTTGTCCTGCTGCTGTTGTCCTTACACAGCTATTTCAATTGCTGCCTGTAGTTGATATCATCAACATCATCATCATTATGCGGTGAAAGTTGTGTTGTTTTGACATTAACGGAAGTAATTGCTGAGCAATTTTGACAGGTATGAATAATTTAGATGGAAAGGATGTGATAACAAGACTCCTTACAGAGTGAATATGATATATTTTCAGAGAGGAAGTAAAGCAGAATTAAAATAAAGCCTTATAACGGTTTAAAATTCAATTTGATTGATAGGAATTCAGACAAATGTATATTCTATCTTGTATCCTTTTAACATTTTACCTTGGCGCCATCTGTTGCTCTTTTTGAGAACATAAAAATCTCCAAAAAAGCTTTATTTCTTGATAGCAATAAAAACAGATGCATTGAAAGCTATATAACCATTAAGACAGGATGTGTCACAATGTCCTTTGCATTTAGTTTACAGCTGGCAATGCTTAGAAGCTCTCTTGAGTTCTCCGAGAGTCTTCTACTCTCTGCTGCTCTGTCTCTTTCCCTTTATATTGCCATCTCTGTCCCTTGAGCTTGAACTGCGAATAACAAGGTGAAAGCATAAGCAGCACGAACACGTGGTTGGAACGGAAATAAGAGAGCCCCTCAGCGAGTTCAGGCCAAAGAGAGTCCTTAGCACAGAAAGAGAGGCAAACGGAAATGAGTAAAGGGAGATAGGGTAAAAACATGTGCGCCCTAATGCTCCCTGTCAGGCGTAGCCATTAAGCGCATTTGCCTTTTTGGACGCAAATCGCATTCGGTGACATTTCAGATGGCATTTCCCTGGCATTTTCCGGACACCAGACTGGCCTCAGTTGACCTCCAGTGGCCTTCTGCTGCTACTGCATTTCCAGCTTCGCCTTTGCCTAATTGGCAATTTCTGTGAAAGCCAGTTAATGTTGCTCACTCTCCGCTTTTGCTGGGCTTCCTGTTGATTTCTGATTAATTAATTTAGGACACGCACGCGGGTCTAAAGGTGTAGAATTAATTTTTAAAAATCCAGCTAATGCTTAAATTCCACATGCTGGGGACTTGTTGCTCCAACTCCTTGTGGCTATTGTTAGGGTGCGCCCATTAAAATGCATTAATTTCGTAATGAAACCTTATGACGCAAGGCAACGCGGCGTATACGTAATGCGCGCAATGACGCCCGCCTGGAAGTATGCTGCAAAAAAGCGCTTTAAGTGTTTGAGAGAAGCATTGCGTCTGAATGGGTTTATCCTTGTGGTTATGAATAGCGTATTGCTTGGGGAGGTCGGTGGGGTCAGGATTTCCCATCGCAGTGTGCTTGGAAAATGTTATTAAGCTGTTGAGCACGGCAACACACTTCTCGATTTATATCGAGTTTCGCCCGCAGGGTACACGCATTGCAAACTAGTTTTTCGAATGGCCAAGTTCATAAATTCGCAGCAAAGAAATGGCTTCGCTTCATAGCCATATTCACAGTGCGGAACCTAATAAATTATGCATATTTGTCGCACAATTTGTACTTGTAATGGGTCCTAAAGTAAAAGAGCGTGCGTACTTGTAGGTACTTTTATCTATTTTTTTTAACCATGAATATTTCATTTTTAAATGTCTCTTTGGCCTAAAGTCTTCCTGTAAGTTTTATGATAAAATTAACCGAGCACACTGGCATAATTCACAATTTACCAAAAAGACTCTAAATTTGAGTATAAACTTGGATTTTCTACGGGTTGAGACTAGGAGTTACCGGATATACTGAGGTGTAGAGTAATAATAAAATTTAAAAAATTCTTACATATTCTGTAATTTTAAGACTAAACGTAATTTATATACATTTTTAAATACGTGGAAAGGCACATTTTATGGTATAAGTAATTTTTCAGCTTGATTTATGTTGTAATTAAAATATTATTTGCATGAAAGTCTTCAACATTTCATGGATACTCATTACTTGACACCCTATTTCTTCATTCTTTTAGACTGATAATAAATTCATAAATATAAAGATAATTCATGTTACAAACATTTGTCTCTATTCTTTTAAGATGGTTTCAATAGATTTCTGCTGTCAAAAAATTAAGTGTGAAAAGGGCTTTTGTGCTAAGCAATCAAGAGCCTTTTGCTGGAGCAGATAAAGCACCACAAAATTCACAGGATGCCAGCTACTAATTGTAAACGAATCGTTCCATATCGGACGGACATACAAATGAGGTTTACACACATCCCGGTTCGCAGTACATGCCTGAGTTTTACGGGGTATCCTGCTCCAGCTCCGGCGACCGCACTCACGTAAAACACAATTAGGAGGCACGCACATGGCGGGCAAACACATTTTGCTTTGTTTCGGCTGGCAGCGTGGCATAAACATAACATAAACAATGCGAAAACATTAAACAGAACGCAGGACGCATGGCTGGCATAACGAAATGCTCGCCAGGATACGCGGCAGCACATAGATAACACATATACACATATGTATGTGAGTATATATCTGACAAGGAGGACCAGGACCCCAAGGGGACGGTTCGTCCTTCGTCCGTGATGATTTGCGGCATTTTTTATGATTGCTTTATGAGTATGTGCGGAGCGAGGCAAATACCAGAGAAGTAATTTGCAAAATTCGCAATATTTCTACGAGGAATTTGCGGTAGAACAAGAAACAAAGCAAAGGTGTTTCTCTCCCAGATAAGACATAATTGATAGCGTGTGTTCGTCAAGGAGCAACTTCTTCAAGTCCTCACACAGCCATCAGAGAAGTTTTCACACGATAAAGCCCATTTTCCCACATCATATTTTGTATACGTACCGAAGTCAACGGATATAATCTTGCGTTAATTTAGACACTTTCACTCACCTGCAAGAAAAAAGGGAAAATAAAAAGTCATATGAGAACAGAGAAAGTGCTTACACAGAGAGCAAAAAGGAATAATATGGAGAAATATGAATCGAGCTTATATAAAATAAGTATCTAGGTATAATGAGTCCCTTGTCTTATAGAATGTAAAAACTATAGAATTTGTTAACTTATTGTTCTATTTTTTTACTGTGCACAAAACGATGCTGTGGGTGTGAC